ATCACTACTTACTCAACATAAATCAACCAAATAGAAGTGGAAGACCAAAATTCAAAAATCAATTACAAATTTTCTTCTGAATCCCAATTCCCTTCGTATAAGTTAAATCTGAAAAAACTATATAACAAATTTATCCTTGTACAATGGGAAACCAAAGATTCACAACTCAAATTTGTAAGGCATTTATTTGTTAATAGCAAATTGATACTGCAAAATTTGATTTGCTCTTAAAAATTTCTTGCACTTTAAACACATAAAATAGAAAAGAAAAAGGAATCCAAATATGATCCCAAAGTACAATCCCAATCAACATATAACACTACTCTTATCATTATTCTCTCCCCTGTACCAACAGTCCATCTCTCTACAAATTAATCTTATTTTTTAAAGACCTCTTTTTACTAATCTTTCTTTTATTTAATGTATTCTCAGAGAGAGAAGATGACACAAGTGCTTGATTATTGAAAGAAACAGTTCATATTTTAACAAAATTAAACAACAATGTTGGAAAAGAACTGGGTGCTACCATTCCTTATGACCTCTAACAGCTATTTGAGAAAGATACTATATAATAACTAAATAACATAACCTTTGGGAAAGTATTGGTAATTGGAACTGGAAGAACGGAAAGAACAATAAAAACATTTTTCACAGTGCCAGGTACAGGATTTCCTTCCATACCTTCTTGCATATTGCAATGAGAAAGTATAGAATTCAGTTAATTGAAATTAGATTTGAGGATTAAAAAGTAGTAAACAAAAAAAGAAAGATGATAGAGTTGAACTTAAATTTTAAGAAAGTACAAAGATAGGGGTCTCTTGTTGACCAAAGAAGGGTAAGTTGGTAATCTGACAATATTTTGATCAATGGTCCTAAATGCTCTTTGATCCAGCCATGCGCAAAAACATGAGAAGATAGACTAAACAAATTGTGTTCAGTTACCTTGAGCTTCTACAGGTTCAATCACCCCTCTCATCTGATCCAGCCATTCTGTATATCTGCAAAGAAAAGCTTAAAAGATTACAATTTGCAAAACCAAGAGAAAAAACCATCAAGTCCCCTCAATTAAAATTTGCAACTCTTGAAGAAGAAAGAAATGCAAAAGACCCCATTAAGAACATAGATTGATGAATGAAATTCCAAACCGAGATAGCAAATCAAAAACCCACCTTTGAATTCAATTTGGTTACCTTTTGAATTATAAAATGCATTCCTTTAGGAGGAGCATCATCTTGCTTACTCTTTCAAACTAACACCCTATTTCTCTTTTCTAAACTGTAATTGGATGGAAGAAAAATATAAGATTAGAGCTGGTTACTGAAAATTAAGATCCTCTGACCTCTCCCCTCGAATTCCTCTTCCTCTCCTTTAGAATGAAACTTAACTTCCCTTGGCCGCCCCTAAAACATTGAAATAGAAGCAAAATTGAAAACTTAATTCAAATTTCATTATCTCCGCAAACCTCAGTAGTCAGGGTAGTTTTCCTAGAACTACCAATTCATAAAATCACTATCTCCTTCACCTTATTCTTCCTAAATCCAATTCCGCCTGCCCCCCTAAGTCCCCAAAATCCTCTCTTTCACCACGCTTTTTGACTGCCTCTTCCAATGAGCTTCATCCTCCACTTCCAATCTTTTTTGACCCCAGTCGTTGCTCCAGCCTATGGAAGAGGAATGCAGTGAGGAAGGAAGCTGATGGGAGAATAGGTGTACGATACTGTGGGTCAAACTACATGTGATACAATATATGTATATATAAAAACATGGTTAGAATTGATTGGTCCAGTTCTTTCCGCCTCTTCTGATTGATCTTTGCTCTAATTCTAAGCCAAAAAAAAAAAAAAAAAAGTGAGGAAGAAATTAAAGTCGAGATATCAAATTGAATTGAAGTATTTATCAATGCTAAAAGTAGAGAAATTAAAGTTGAGCTATCCTGCATTTAAACAGCATAGCATCTTTTATTTCTTAGAGATCTATTACCGCCCAATCCTAGAAATTTTTAACAAATATCAAGAAAAAGAAATATCAAGAAAAGAAGAACTATTGTTGCAAGAAAGCAATAGTATGGCATTTGATTCAACAAAATCAGTCTGAGGTTAACATTTCTGAAAAATGTCATAAACAATTTCCAAATAATAAAATCAAATGATTACCTAAAGCTGCATTAGGAAGGACTGTGATGCGGCACAAATGGTTGAAAACAAACTCACTTGCCTAATTGAATTGAGGCAAGACTTGGTAACATCAATCAAAGACAACGATCGACGGATTTCCAATTTTGTGTTCTAAATCAAACTGACGAATTCGAATAAAATTTCAGTGAGAGAGGCTGTTTAAATGCAGGATCTT